AAGGAAACAGAGAAAGTGGAAATCCCTGTAGAACTTTATACTTAAGTTATCCAAATAGTTGAGTTCGATATATGTTTAGGCTACTAGTTTGTATCCAATTTTGGATAAGAATATTGTATAGTCATTGCATATTGAAAACAGAAGTGAAATATTTTTTTTTTTAAATAACAGACTTCAGCTATTCAATAATAAATAAACAACAAGAAATTGTTTTGTCTTGGCATATTATTATTAGAAATAATATTATAATGATCTTCGTATATTCAAACCAACTATAAAATGTTTACCACATTGGCCCATTCCATCTGTAGAAACCGGTGTGACCGCAGCTCGGATACACCTTCATGAATATGTATTTTTTATCAGCACTAGTTAAAAATCTGTTAGGCTCTCGAGGAACTGGTTTCAACAGAGCTTTATTCTAAACATGCAAAGAGGGTGTGTGATATTGTTCTGCGTGCGTGTGTGTGTGTGTGCGTTATCAGTGGCAACCTGTTCTATGTCGACTTAAATTGTTTATTCAAATGAGAGCGGCACACATCTCACAAAGGGGGCCTGATACGGCTGTTCGTTGAGATTGTGGTTTCATTTTGTGGCTGGCAACTGGGGTACAGGGAGCTCTACGAAAATGTCAACTAATCAAGTTTCTAACGATTCCCAGCCGATACTTTATTCGTATTGGCGCAGTTCGTGCTCCTGGCGAGTGCGCATTGCGATGAACTTGAAGGAAATACCCTACGACATCAAGCCCATAAGTCTCATCAAGTCGGGCGGAGAGCAGCACTGCAATGAGTATCGAGAGGTTAATCCCATGGAGCAGGTGCCGGCCCTGCAAATCGGTAACTAGAGCAATGATGCCATTTGGCTAGGTATTTCTAAGTTGTTCTCCACTCCAACTCTCCATTTAGATGGGCATACGCTGATCGAATCGGTGGCCATCATGCACTATCTGGAGGAGACCCGTCCCCAACGTCCTTTGCTGCCACAGGATGTACACAAGCGGGCCAAGGTACGCGAGATAATCGAGATCATTTGCTCTGGCATTCAGCCACTTCAGAACCTCATTGTACTCATCCACGTGGGCGAGGAAAAGAAGAAGGAGTGGGCACAGCACTGGATAACACGTGGCTTCCGTGCCGTGGAGAAGGCCCTGTCCACTTCGGCTGGAAAATACTGCGTTGGGGACGAGATCTCAATGGCCGACTGTTGCCTCGTGCCGCAGGTGTTCAATGCCAGGAGGTAAGTCGTACATTTCAGCACTATCCCAAGTGTATTTATGACTCCACTGATTGCTTTGCAGATTCCATGTGGACTTGCGCCCATATCCCATTATATTGCGGATTGATCGCGAGCTGGAGAGCAATCCAGCTTTCCGAGCTGCTCATCCTTCCAATCAGCCGGATTGTCCACCGGAGCTGCCCAACAAATAGAATTTTCCGACGACAACTGCAAAACGCCGTAAAACTAAAAAGTGAATTGCAGTTTGTAGCACACACAGTACATCTATAACAGACGGAAACCCAACAAGGCGGCGACAGAAATAAGTTTGGAGCTGGAGAGTCAGCTGGTGAGGCGGAGAGAAACAGTCGGATGTGATTCAAAAAATTGCTAACAGCATTTAACTATGCATAAATGCATAAAAATACTATCGATAAAAAATAAAATTTTTATTTGGCAGCAAAACCAAACCAATAACAATATTAATTATTCTCAAGAAGAAGAAAAAACATGATTCAAAAATTGTATTATTCCTTTGGTTTATCAATGTGAAAACAAATTGTCTAAAAGATGTACTCATATGTAAAAACGTATTTTTATGAATTTTATTTAGGCTAACAGAAACAAAACAAATTTAAAAAACTAAAAAAAAAAGAACAAAACAAAAAAAATCTACAAAAACTTTGAAAAACTTAATCATGACGAGAAGCAAAATTTAATTCAGGGATTTAAAAAATGAAAATAATTTAAGTGCAAATTTACATTCTATAAACTAAAACGCGCAATCGTATACACGTATGCATACATATGTAAGTTAACTAGAAAAGTTGGGCGCTTTACAACGTAACTTTTTGAAGAAAGTACAAAGCTTCAGTCAACGAGGAAGTAAACTCCATTAGCAGGCAGAACCGAAAATTCAAAAGAATAACTAACAAATTGTTGACAGTATATAAGAAATACATGCATACTTACCATAACTTAGGCATTTAACCGGAGCGCCATAGAGTTCTCTCGAGACTAAAGTATATGTATAACAAATAAAATAATTAAATGTCTCTTTGCTAAAACAAAAATATATCTACTATGTATTTCAACAAGTCAAGTAATGTAAACTCTGTATTTTACTAAAAAGCACAAGCCAAATGAAAAGCCCCATTAAATCGTATGCACCTAACATACATATATGTATATTGTATGTACCAGTTGATTGCTAGTTCTCTTCAAATCAATTTCACTGTAGACCTTTCCAAGACAAGCCCGCAAATCGCTATCAGGTGACTACATTTAAATAGATGTGGCTGGTCTCGCATCCAATCGACTAACATATGCTATGTTAATACCCACAATATTGTAACAGTTCCAATTATTAACTACATATGTATTACAAACAAGAAAAACCAAATAAACTTCTTACCAAACTAAATTGTGTCGATCACTTTCGTTAAACGGATATCGAATAGCCTCCATGAACGATGAATCGATATTTCTAGCATCGATAGTCCAATCACTGATAAGAGCTGCTCGGAACGAACTTCAGTTCGCTCACTGAATGCACTGGACAAGTACTTACATATGTAAATATATAAACAAACAAATTATTGATTGATTTAACCGAGTCAAGGGCAATCAACATGAATGCATTTAGAAGCCATGCAGGCAAATGCCTGCAGTTGGCCAATAGTGGTATACGCAGTTACAGTTCCAGTTCTACGATGTCAAGTGATGCAAGGCCAGTGCTCTACTCATATTTCTCCAGTTCGTGCTCTTGGCGAGTGCGCATTGCGTTGGGTTTGAAGAACATTCCGTATGATATCAGGCCAACCAGCTTGATCAAGCCCGATGAAACATACTGCTACACGAATGAGTATAGGGAGGTTAATCCCATGCAGCAGGTGCCAGCACTCAAAATTGGTGAGTTTTGAGGAATTGATAAAATCGTATGATGTTAACAAATTTATGCGCTTAGATGGCCAAACACTGTGTGATTCCGTCGTGATTATGCATTACCTGGACGAAACTCGACCCCAGAACCCGCTGCTGCCGCAAGACCCGCTAAAACGTGCCAAGGTGCGTGAGATTGTCGAGATCATTTGCTCGGGCATTCAGCCATTGCAAAATCGCATCGTATTAGAGCATCTGGGTAAGGAAGCGAGCATGGCGTGGGCACAGCACTGGATATCACGAGGTTTTCGTGGCCTGGAGAGAGTGCTTGCCGCATCCTCTGGCAAGTACTGTGTTGGGGACGAGATCTCCATGGCAGATTGCTGTCTCGTTCCACAGGTTTTCAATGCCAGACGGTGAGCTCTATATACATAACAATTTAACAGAAGCTGGTAAAGCATATTTCATCTTTCAGATACAAAGTCAACCTGGAAGCCTTTCCCAAAATTGTGGAGCTCGATCAGAGGTTGGCAACAAATGAAGTTTTTCTCGCCTGCCATCCTCACCGTCAACCCGACTGTCCAGCCAAGCTGGCCAATAAATAAATTGTAATAAGTGTCTGAAAAAGAGTTTGCATTTCCAAATAAAAACGTTAGTTTATTTTAAGTAATATCAAAAATTAGATACACATTAAAATTGAATGAAATCATCAAGTCGAAGACTAATAAAAAAATCTGTTTCTTTTAATATATTCTTTATTATTTTTTTGTTTTGTTTTTAGTTTTATATAATCTTTCTTAAATGTGTAATTCATGTTATATGTATGTGTATTTTATAACTCTTGATGTACCTTGACTTGGATTTTTACTTTACAATTACTTCTGTTAATTCATTACGGATCTCTAACATCTCTGTTGGTGTTACGGCTTGTTTTGTTATGCGTGTATCTATATATTTGTATGAATATATATAAATATGCGCTCAACAAGTTTCACTATAACTACTAACATTACCATTTACCATTAGCATTATCTCTTCGGTATAATGTATTAGACATTACAATCGATACACCCGATCCTAACTAACTTGAATTTGCTTTCCGCTTCTATCGTTTTTGCTATTGTGTCCAGCTGTTGCTGCTGCTGTTTGGCTATATGTCGCGCTGATCGTAAAGAGTTTCATTTCATTTGATTTGGATTATGATTCCTTAGGTTAAATGTACTATATGCATCTGTATATAATTAATATGTAGAGAGGGTAACTGTTTGGTTTGGTTTGGTTTGGTTGTATACTCTTTAAGTTGGGCGGGCCTCTCGGCACCATCATCCAAATTGTACAAGATTTGATTTTATTATACGAGAAGATTCAAAAATTACGTGTTCTTTTTCTTTTACTTTTAAAATTTGAATGAGCTACGTTACGTTTTGATTTTTTGTTTTTATTTTCAACACTCTAGACTATTTGTATTTATAAATTTATTTTTGTTTTTCGTCTTTCCAAAAAAGAGAGAAAAATCAAATAGAAAGGGAAACGACAACTGAAACGAAATTCTTTATGAAGGTTCTGTGAGATATTCGAAATGGAAATCAACTAATGGGTAAATATATATTTATAAAACCTGCTGCTTAGCTAGTTTGAATATCATCTTTATATAAAACTTCAATTGATTATAAATTTTAATAGAGCATAACTAAATATCATCTATGTTTTTTTTTTCTTTTCTTTTCATATTATTGCATTTAATTAATAATGAAGTTTTCTTTTTGTTTTTTGTCTCGATACTTCCTCGATATTTTGTTGCTAAAATTTGTTTAAATATTTTGCTAATATGTATAAGTAAAACTTTCATATTTTTATAGGTTTCTTTTTGTTTTTTTTTCGCAGTAAGTAAATACGTACTTATTTTATTGCTAATTAAACAACATATCCTAGGCCGTACATGGCTCTTGCCATACAAAGAATTTGCTTCTACTTATTGGGTGTTTCAGAGCCACAGTAGTGCACCTACACATACCTGTGGCTGTGTGTGTTTTTTTGTGAGTGTATTGGTGTTAGTGTGTGTGTGTGTGTATACATACATTCAATTTATACATACTCTATTATACAATTCATTTCTTAATAACTCACTTTCATTACTTCGTCTCTTTGTCATTTTTTACTTTTTTTTTTTTTTTTGTTTTTTTTTTTTTTTTATCACAGTCAAATCATAAAAGATTTAGTACTTTTACTTTTGAATGAGTTTCCATGATGTTCTGCTTGCTTGAATGTCTGCGATTACGAGCGTTTTCAAATGACCAACATTTAAATGAGGTTTTCTTTCGCTTCATAATGTTTACTTTTATTTGCTTTGTATTTTATAAAATTCTGGTGAATTAACATTTAGATTTCGTTTCTTTGTATTCTTCGTAAAGTGCAAACTGAGTTTCGATCAATTTTCGTGTAAAAAGTGGTTGGTTTTCCTCGCTTTTTGCCATAATTGGACAATGCATTATACATTATATAGTAAGTAGTTGTTGTTGACTTTGTCTAAGAAAGTTGTTAGGTAAATGTTTTTTTTTTTTTTTTAATATATTACTTTTATATACTTTTGGTGTTGCTGCATTAATCGTAAAATCTAGTGGCTTGTATGAAAGCTTCAACAGAAACTCCCCACGTTGTGCCCCGTACTTTGGCGACAACGCGAGAGTAGCGTTGCAACTTTATCTATTATTAGTTAAATTTTGCTCATCCTAAGGTACTCACGTATGCTTCTACTATCTTAGGGTTTCATTTGATTCCATTGAAATCTACGTTAAATACGAGAATAAAATCAAAACTTCGATTTTGAACAAGAGTTAACATTTTGTTTTTGGCCTTACTACTGACTGATGCGATTGTGAAATTGAAATGAAATATTAACTATCCTGGACTTGATCATATATGTATGTATATATATATATATATCAGTGCATATATAAATACACACATATATATAGTTATATAAGAAGGTAACGTCTGACTGGGGCTTGCGTTTAATGAGCTTCTGTGATGCAAGAGTCTTAGTCTTATACTTTCATAGTTTTAGTCCAAGGCTACTTTAGCTTCAATCGATAACGGGAAAAGAAACAAGTTAACAATATATCCATCAGGGCAAATTTGGTTTGCAAGGTTTTGAACTGAGCTGCACATGACGCTTTGATTGGGGGTAGGCGTGAATCTCTGAAGGAGCAGGGAGTGGGGGCGTGTCCAGTTGAAAGTGCAACTCCGCACAGCACCATTGACGATTGTTTTGTATCATTGCTAGGCCATTTATTTGTAGGAATTAATTAATAATAATAATTTGATGTATCACGCTAACAACTAGTTTTATATATTTAGTATGTACGCATTTACTTTATGTATGTATGTATGTATGCTTGTATATATATTCAAATATAATTTGTTTATTACTATTAATAGGTTCAATGTGTATGCTGTTGCTGTTGCAGTTGTTGTTGTAAGACGGCTTCTCATTATTGTTGTTGCCAATACCATACTAAACACATAATGGCAAATGTGGACAACTACATACATTGTACAAATGTATGCCAATTTTTGATTTGT